AACGTGTTCGAATTGTAATATTGTCGTAAAGCCTACACGAAAACCAAACAACATAACATAGTAGAGTAACCAAAGATCGGAGCATATATGAATTCCCAACCAGGTGGTTAATTGTTTTCTACATACCGTGGAGGCCTCCATGTTGTTTATGATTAGACCCGGGATTTGTAAGGTCACCGTGGCGCCCTTAATTTGTTCAGAACCAATATCGGGGTCCATCGTGAGTACAAAGCCAGCAGCCCCGGCTCTGTGCACAGTATCTGCAACCGTTGCAATACTTGCTGCCTCGGACTCGAAATCATAGGTATATGTACAGATCACCAGCTTCCCACGAACTAACGACGGGACAAATTGCATTGCGTCTTGGCAGCTCTCGACTGTCAAGAGGCCCGCAGTAGAGTTCCTTCGACAAACATCAACTGCAGCTGCCAGCTGAAAAAACGCCTTCCCTGCTGTCGGAGCTACAAATTTATAAGTTTTAACAGATTAACAGATTGAATTCCAACCAATTAGCTAGTCTAACCCATGGCCTTATAAACCCATATGTTCTCTCTTATTTTATCAATGTGGACTCTTAACAGAAAGAAGGGAAGGAATGGTGATCAGTGTGGATGGGCGGGTAAGAAACTTACGGGAGAGTCCACTACCAGAGAACGTCTGTCCATTGCCTAAAACGATCGAATTAGTGTATCTGCGATCCGTAGTGGAGGCAGCAACACTGGTTACCCATGGGCTAAACGAAAGCATAGACCGGGATGAAGGGCCGCTATTTCCAGCAGCTTGAACAACCAGCACGCCCGCCCTCGTTGCAAAAAGAAGCTGAACTTCTAACACATTAAGGAAAGCAGAATCGCCCGATGGAACACTCGATGGCCCAACAGAGAGGCTAAGTATATCAACTCCATCTTCTACTGCCTTTAAAGTTTAAGGTTCATCAAGTTAATCAGGAATAATGTTTAGCCGTTTGATCGAGTAATCCAACGGATATTAGATGTTGAATTTGTCTAACCTGATCAACTGCAGCCACAACATCTGACATGTATCCTCCAAAAGAGTATAGAGCTTTGTAGACAGCAATACTTAAAAAGGAAGGAATATAATTGAATTATTTGTACAAATTAGTTGGTAGGTAAAAATAACAAATCCCTGGGAGCAAGAAAATATAATACAAAGAAAGAGGTGAAAATGAGTTAGTTTTGATTACCCTGCTCCAGGAGCCATGCCACTTGCATAACCATAGTTGAATCTGTTGGTTATGACAGGAGTGTGGTAGTTCCCAGCTGCTGTTGAAGCTGTATGGCTGTAAATTAAATTTATTATTATATTTTGGAAAAAGGGTATAGTACACCCCCGAACGTTATACAAAAAGTCAATTAAGCCCTGAACTTTTAAAAGATGCAATTAAACACACATCAACATGCCAATTTAGTGTATTGAAGTCCAAAAATCGATTGGTGACCTGTAATAGCAAGTTACTAGGGCTTCGGCGATATTCGGGTACCTCTGCAGGGAAGTTTGCGAGCGGTAAACGGCCGCTAATTTCCCCCGAAGATAGTTGGAATATTGCTGGAGCATCGTTGGAACCCTAGCAACCTGCTATTACAGGTCACTGATCGATTTTTGAGCTTCGAAGAACTAAATTGACATGTTAATGTGTTCAATTATAACTTTTAAAAGTTACAATTAAACACACATTAACATGCAAATTTAATGCATTGAAGTTCAAAAATCTATTGGTTACCTGTAATAGCAAGTCACTAGGGCTCCGGCAATATTTCGGGTACCTCTGCGGGGAAGTTGGCGAGCGGTAACCGGCCGCCAATTTTCACCGAAGATAGTTGGAATATTGCTGGAGCATCGTTGGAACCCTAGCAACCTGCTATTACAGGTTACTAATCGATTTTTGAGCTTCAAAGAACTAAATTGACATGTTAATGTGTTCAATTACAACTTTTACAAGTTTAGAAATCTAATTGATTTCTTTTATAAAGTTCATATGCGTATTTGACATTTTTCCCTTATGTTTTCCATGCATTTTAAACACAAATTTTAAAAAATTTTAGAAAAATAATAATAATAAAAAAAAATTGTGTGTCTCTTATATTACCTTCCATGACCATCAGCATCAAAGGGAGAAGCATAATGGCGTGAGACATTGAAGTCACCAGCTGCAATGGCAGCTCGGGCAAAATATTGAGCCCCAACAATCTTGCCGTTGCATGCTGTCGCCGGAAAATTATCGCCGGTAATGCATTTTCCGGTGAACTTTCTGGTTATTCTAGGTCTACCAATATTGTATTCTTCAGGTGATGAGAAGCTTGCATGAAATGGATTAATTCCTGTGTCAATCATGCCTATTACAACTCCTTCCCCTGAGACACTTGGTCCACCTAGTCTGGGCCACACAGTGTCTGGAATTCCCAGAAAATCTGGTGTGTGTGTTGTCATCTTCTCCATTTTAATGTCCTCATAAATGCCTCTAACTCCCTCTGCTTTGTGCAGAATCTTCAATGCCTGTGGAGATTATGCATGTTTCTTTAATTATTATATTAATGGAACCCCATATATTCTTTATTTTATGGAGAACTCACATATCAATTGGTTTTGAGACCCTAATTAGCTTTTTTCTTCTCTACCTATACATCATAAATGTTGGGCGGAGACCGGTAAGGGTCAAATCTAACACCACGTGGCTAGGAAATTGTTGGATGGAGGTTAGTAAAGGGTCAAATCCAGCACCCTGGCTCTGGAAAATGTGTGGCGGTATAAAGGAAATAAAGTTGGGCATTCGCTACTAGCTATAGCTTTTAGTGTTATGGTAAGTGTTTGGTCCTAATTATTGGTATTAGAGTCAGGTCACGGGTTAAGACTGGTTGGTGCTGGGAGTGGGGATTGTTGGGCAGAGGCCGATAAGGGCCAAATCCAGCACCATATGGCTAGAGGAATTGTTGGGCGGAGGCCGGTAAACAACAAGTCCAGCACCCTAACTCTAGAAAATGTGTGGTTGTATAAGGAAATAAAGGTGGTTGATCCAAACAATACATACACTTTTACCTTATCTGATTTCACATGAACTGCAAATCCATTGAGCAAATGGGTGTAGCTGTATAATTTGGTGTAAGCACTTCTTCTTAGAAGAGAACCTAGGAAAACGTCGTGCTGTTTTGTCATTCTTTGCTTGTACATGGTCACATTTCCAGAAGTACCCCTGCAGATGAAGATTGATATATATATATATTTGATATAAGCACTTAGGCAAATTAAATTCACATTGAAATGGAAAGCTAAACACAATATATAACTAATTTTCATTTGTGAAAGCTATAATGAAAAGAGATGAGAAAGAGCATATATAGATCCAAGTTAGTTTAATTACTTGATTCTGGTAGATACAAAGGGATGATCTTCCATTAAGACCATATAAATCTTTGCTTCTGCCATGAAGAGGATGAAGGAAAGAGTAATGAGTATGAAAAGGGACTCCATTAATTAAGTAGAAGGAATTGAAGGAAAGCAAAATGTTTTCTTCAATTCTTATCTTCTCCCTTATAGAGGTACGTGATAGATGCCTTCCTGCCTGTGCCACACAAGCCTGCATTGCATGTCTTTCTTATTTTTGAACTACCAGCTCCATGCAGGGAGGATGACACTTTTCTACACAGCCTAACAATCACAAATTATTATTATTATTTATTACCCTCTCCATTCCAAATTTTATGACTACGATAATTAACGACAAATAAGTTTTCAAAAAGAAAAAATGAAAAATAAAAGAACAAAAAGAGTACTATTTTTAGAGCATCCTCAATTGATAAATTTTTATTATTATTATTATTATTATTATTTTGTCATGGAGAGAGACAAAAAAAAAACAGTGAAAAAAAAAAACTAAATATCATAAGAAAAATATCCCTTTTAACTAACGTGCTCAGATGGCGTGTGTGCGGACCATCTGAGCAAGCATGGTGTGCTCCAAGGAAGACCCCAAAAAAACCTTGCATTTGCAATTAAGAGCAACTCATTTCTCTCCCTTTTTCTCTTTCGTTCACATAAATTATGACCCATAAAAAACCATTCTTGTGGTTGCTCTTATTACTTTTGCACATTGAATAAATAAAATCATCATATTACGTTGTGACATTGGGAAATTGCCTTATCATATCATAAAGGGCAAATTATTCTGTAAACTTAGGTTCACCTTGCAAAATAAATAGTTTACATATTGAATTTTTCAAGGTTGAAAAAATCGCTAGAAGCCCTCTAGGCACCTGGGGATCACCTAGGGCGCCTAGAGCGCTTAGGCGGGCGCCTAGAGCGATTAATCGACGCCTAGAGCGCCTAGGTGGCCAACCGCCTAGCGCCTAAGCGCCGATTAATCGCCGCCTAGGCCCAATTTTTACAACAGTGGAATTTTCACAATTTTGTAAAAAGTAAATTGTAAACATCACGTATATAATTGTGAACATTCAATATGTAAATTATGTATTTTGGACTCAAATCCACCTTGCAAGGTGAACCCTGGTCCATGATATAACAACCCACCGTAAAGCACTAAGGGCATCATTATATTACATTAAGTCAAATTCAAAACCCAAACCAATCAATTTTTTGCCACATCAAATGGGTAGTAAAAATATGAACCAAATATATATATATATATATATATATATATATATATATATATATATATATATATATATATATATATATATATATATATATATATATATATATATATATATTTATTTATTTATTTATTTATTTATTTATTTATTTATTTATTTAACCACTGGTAACAAACACATGGTGTAAAAGGAAATGGCATTTAGAATATGATACCTCATAACCTTAAAAATTAACTTGTATATTTGAAATCTCAATCTAGTCAAACATTGTCTTGAAATCAAAACTTGTGAATATCACAATAAATATTAGAACTATCCTCCAAAATAAAGTTCAACAAAAGGTTGATTCTAAAGTAATTGGGACTCAATAATGTAGCTATGAAATAAAACCACAAAGTCATCATATTGATATCTTGAGCAATCAGAAAAATAGAACTTTACCTAATCAATTTCATGACAAAACTTACATGATGAGCACCCACCCACCCTGCCCTACCCTCTCATACAAAGCACTGTATGTGGTGTATGTGTATGTATACTTCTGAAAAGAAAAATAAGAAAAGACAGTCCTATGTAATAGGAAACATGTCCCTCTTCTTTGTTCACACAAAAATGTGCTATCACAAATGTTCTACAACATGAACTACCCGAGGGGGCTCTTATGCTATTGGCATCTTTGCTGCCGACTATATTCCCAAAGTGCAATGGCACCACTAACATGAACATTGAGTGACCGAACAATTCCCAGCTGTGGTATCTCAATACAAGCGTCCAGTATATGGATAATATTCACCGGTATACCCTCTTTCTCTCGCCCAAGGACCAAGACCTGCACAAGTTAATGATGTTACAAATTGTTAAAACTCCAAAGAATACGTGTTTATAAGGTCATGGGTTAAACTAGCTAATTGATTGGATTCAGTCTTTTAGTGCTGTTTGGCCCATGTGCATTATAGCCAAATTGAGAGACCTTGGCCAAATCTTATAGATTATAACACAAACCATTGTCACCACAAGTATTATGAAGACATGCGACAATTATAACTGTGAACAGAACTTTTGAAACCATATATGCAAGAGCAGAAAAAATAAACATTGAAGGTTGACATAAATGGCATACCGTTTTTTTGGGAAAGACATACTGGTCGAGTGACATGCTGTTCGCAGTCTGCTCCAGACCCAAGATAGAGAAACCCTCTTGCTTCTTCTTTTCTAAGAAAGCTTTCATACTAATTACTGGTACTTCTAAAATGGGGACCCACTTCTCTGCGGTTACACTAGAACATAACAAATTGCACTAGTCAAATAGCAATATTCAGCAACAAAGGTGTAGTGACTGATGATAAACAAGCATGTGATGTGGAAACAATTAGTTACTCTGTAAGATATTTTCCTTTGTCATTTTATGTATGGGAAAAAAATTCATTTTGGCCCTGTTTGGTAAAATGGCTGTTAGCTGATAGCTGTCTGCTGTTAGCTGATTGTGTTAATTAGAAGGTATGAATAGTTGATAATATTAGCTGATTGTAGAAAAGTGTTTGGTAAATTAGCTGTTAACTGATAGCTGTTTGGTATAATTTCTTTTCTCAAAAAGCTAATTGAAAAAGTTGCTTGGAGTAGCTTTTTGAATTTTAGCCTTTTGGAGTTGTAAAAAGCTAATTAACCAAACATTTATATTGATATTTTAACTAAATCAAACAATTAATAGTGGTCAAATAAGCCAAAATTGGCCTATAGGCCAATTTTTTACCAAACAGGGCCTTTATCTGGAAACACCCTGATCAATTTTGCCAAAAGAAAACATTCATGTGTGGTGAGTGGGGTTTCTATAGAGCTAAGCAAAGAAGAATCCCGCATTGAAAAAATAAAAGAGAACATTGGGTTTATAAGGCCACTAGCTAATTGATTGGATTCAATCTTTTAGTGTAGTTTGGCCCATGTGCATTATAGCCCAATTGAGTGACCTCCCATTTAAGGGAGAGGATTCAAAATGTCCCAATTGTCCACCCGAAGGAGAGTGTTAGAGTCCCACAGAAAAAATAAGAGAAAAAAACATGAGTTTATAAGGTCATGGGTTAGACTAGCTAATTGATTAGATTCAATCTTTTAATATGGTTTTACCATGTGCATTATGCCCAATTGAGTAACCTTGGCCCAGTCTTATAAATAAGAGAGACCAAAACCAAGTGGCAATATAATGGCAAATTATTGTGTGAACCATAACAAAAAAGTATATTAGTACATTATTCGTGTACTGAATGTACATTATACAAAATAATGTATTTTCAATTCTCAAATAATGTACTTTCCCTGATATAATGTACATTTTAAATATACTTAAAGTACATTATTTGTGTACTGAATGTACATTATTTGGTAGTAAGGTCCACACAGCTGTGTGAACCATGGTCTACACAATAATGATTGATAAACCATGCTCTACAGATTAAAGGGCAGATTAATTAAACCTGATGAGTTGGAACTGCTTGTCTTTTAGTACATCTTTGTTTGCAATGGCTAGTCCACCTGCTCTAAATACCTGCAAAGAATCGATTACAGAAAAAGGGTTAGATTAATGCAGCTGTTGAACAAAGCTCACAGATAGAACCAAGTAAACACTTGCATGCCCACAAACACCAAAATCAAATCCACACCTCACATGTCCGTGTCAAGCCAGCAAGATTAGGTATTCGATCAATAAGTGATGCTACAAGTATAATATCTTGTCGACTTTTCTTGAGTTTCTCAAAAGCCACAGTTCTTAAATGTAGCACTTGACCAAGAATCTGATCTTCCTTTTCCATGTCTGTACAACACAAATAGAAGGGGAATACTGTTTAAGAAATATACTGTGTTCTGAACTATTAATACTAGAAATATGACTAATCTCCTAAACATTTTAAGTTCATCAATTCACTTAATTTAACAGGGAAACCAAATGCCATCGTGGATTGAGAGCAAACATTGTCAGCAATTTCTATCAAAGTAATCCCCTATTTCACTTGACATAGGTTCAATGGGATGTTCATGAGTGTACTTGACTATGAGATGAAAGATATCTATTCATCTAGATTTTCTTGAAGCTTTTGTGTCGTGTATAAATTATACATCTATACCATATCAAAGCACCAGTTTTTGCTCCAAACTTCTCTACACCTAAATTACCAATAAAGCTTTTGGACAAATAAGAACAGATTAATGTGTTTAAATTCTCACGGGGTATTTAGTTGTGATGTTAAATTTCTAAGGATACGACAAGTATGCCCAACATGTGTCTAAGTTCTATTAATTCTATATTCCTCTTCCTACATAAATCCTTAACAAAATATTCCAATCATACAAGTGAGTTTTTTTTTTTTTTTCTCATACTGAAGAAGTAGAAGCAAGCTTTAGTTTAATGAGTGGGAGTATGGGAAACATATTTTTGCTGCAAAGTGACAGTCTACATCGCAAAATCATACTGCTGTATAATGCAGAACGGTAAACCATAATTGCAATGCCAAATATGAAAACTTAGACCATTTCAAAATTCCCACATACCGTGCAGTGACTTCCATGATCCTTTGTCATCCAACGAAAAATTAGAAGTCAAACCTTGCATCTCAAGCTTGGAAAAAGTAACCTTCCGCTGAAAATCAAATGATATATCATTTGACAAAGAGGCTGGCTGTTTATCAGATAGAATCTCTGATATCTCATTGCACATAACATCCCCATCCATATGTAAACTTTCTTTCTTGATAGTCGCAGCATCCTTAGCCATTGAAGACCTAAGGTCCTCCCTAGTATCCTGTGACGAGGGTGATAAGTTACAAAACATTCATAAATTAGATAAAATAGTATTACTTGGCACTTACATTTAGGAAAGTAATTACACGATCCATAAGCGTCGCTGGTACACATTCAAATTCAAGATCCTTCCAAATGCAAATAAGGAAAAAGAAAAAAGTTTAGACTTTGATAATAAGAGGGAAAAATCTTAAATATATAGTGCAACAGTAAGCCTTAAATATATAACAGACGAAGGAACATAAAGGCATGATCTTGTCAAAGTACAGTTTGCAAGACACTAGAAGTGCAAAAATGTCTTCTTGCAAGAAACTGTTGAAATTGAGGATTGATAGGTTTGGCGGGTGGAGAATAACCACCACCCGCCAGTTAGGCGGAAGCAAAATATGTGAGAACCAAAGAACAAGAGAATAAAGAGAATATATTATAATGAAAGATTACAATAGATTGTCTCTCTGTATATATGTTCTATACTTCAATGGACCTCTATATATACTAAACTAGATACTAAATTAGTCTAGGAAACTACTAATAAGAATAGGAAACTAAGACAAGTTTCCTAATATTCAACAGAAACCATGCACATTTTTTCCAGAAATAAGTTTGTTCAATAACAGAAGCAATTACTAGGAACAAGAAAGTTTATCATGGCATAGTAAACTCATACACTCAATTTTGGCAGTGCGATTTCTCATCAAAGTTATCTCCTTAGTCCTCACACATTTCTTATATGCTTTATGTTAAGGTTTCCAAATAATATCACTTTCTTAATGATGAGACATATAATAGAATAAATGATAATATAATTCAAACTCAGTTACCTATGGAAGTTCTAGTGCTATAAAAAGGTCTTACTGCAACATATTATTTTCCTAATAGGTATCAGCTAAACAACTTTTAATTCTCTCCATGGTAGATTCTCCTTTTTCCTTGTTCAGTAAGAATAACATTGTTAGCAACCAAATGCCAATGTTTCTTGAATCTATATTCTATAATCTGCATATATAATTTTGTCAGCATCTTTTTTATGTTATGAAGCAGAAGCAGATTATAGATTCGTGACTCTTAGAAGCAGATGAAAGTGCCTGATGCCTGAACATTATTATGCCACCACCAACTGGGGGCAGGTATTTTAGCTGTCAACAAATTCCAAAGAGTATTTTGCAGACCTCAACTCGAGTGCTGAATATTCCGGCCGGCATAACAGCCTTCTGTGGATCAAAAGCATCAAGATATCCTTCCATTGATGCTCTTAACCTGTGACAGCAGGAGAAAATCGCCATTAGTGAAGATGGACACTATATTATCCATCGCAGAAACTTTCCAGACCCCTACACACATTGCTTCCTCTACTTTAATAATTGAATAAATGCAATTACACTGAAAAGTAGCAAACCAAAATTATAGTAACTCTGAAACTATTCCTTCATTTATAACTTCAGTACTTCACAAATTGTTCTTGTTACTTTTACCAATTGTTTACCTACACTTGACATCAAAAACTTTCATATAGCGGCAATTCCAGACGCATTCCTAGGCTTTCAATTTTAACACATTTCACCCCACATGTTTCTAAATTGTTCCAATCCTTCTATCCAATTTGGAACATGCAAGGGGACAATTTAGGCATATCAATGATTTGACCCTTTCCCCATTATTTTATTATGAGTTAATTCCACTTTTGATCCATTCAGAATGGTGGTAAATGACAGATTTAGTCATCGACTTCCAATTTTGAGGCATTTCACCTTATGAGTTCCTCGCCATAGTTCTCGATCTCCCCATGACCACAGGTTCTCATCATTTTTGGTGGCTATGGCTATCAGGAACATTTGCCAAATTCAAAATTTTGTTATTTCGATTACCATTTCCATTGGTCATGACAACCAGGAATGACGACCAAAGCCAATTTTTTAAATAAAAGACTGAATGGACTCTTTCCAGTGGTCATGGCCCTTGGAAACGATAGCCAAAGTATTTATACAAAATGCTTTGAGTATAGTTCCCAGTGGCTGTGGTGAGACCAAGAACCATGACAAGGAACTTGTTGTATGAAATGTGTCAAAATCACTAGAGCTAGAATTGCCAATATTCTCAAGAGACCAAAGTGCAAGTGTGCAACTAACTCATAATACAATTATGAAAGGGTCGCCAAGTTGGCTAAGGATATAAACTTGTAACCACAAGGTCACAAATTTGAATCCCAACCTCCTTGGTTTGAGCTAATTAGCTATGGGCAATCTAGGTTGGTTTACCTCCTTGTGGTCCTTTGCCGGCTAGGGTCACAAGACGGGGGAAATTGATTGAAATAGTCAAAAAATGTGAGGAGTGGACAACAATGGGCAACTTTTAAAACTTGGACAAAAGAAGGAAACGCAAGTCAGACATGTGTTTCCCATTTTCTCATCGCCGGAAATCTGTGATCCTGGACCGGGTTGTTAGCATTTTGAATGTACCCAGGTTGGAAATCTAGGCTTCGTTCTGTTCTTCTTCTCCGACGGAAAGTTTATTGCTGAGCATGGTTCATTCTGTTCTGAACTTCTGATGTTGCCAGAGTATGCTGGTGACTGGTTAAAAAGAAGAGCAATTGCAGGGATGAATTTACTTAAAAATAAATGTTGATGATTGAAATGTGAAGTAAATGTATTGTTTTTGTTGTGATGTGATGCTTGTAGTGCCGAATAGAAGTGGAGAAAACGAGTTTGCTAGTTTTGGAAGAACAGAACAAAGCTTTTAAAATTTCTGGCGCCGGGAGAAGAATAACAGAACAGAGCTTTTAATTATTTTTTTTTACAAATGCAAGTGACTTGCGTTTATCACTTTGTCGTATGCCGTACGCACACTTGCGTTTGTCCTATACAAGAATACATACGAGACACGCAAGTCGTACTTGCATTTCTAGTATTTGTACCGATAAACACAAGTACGACTTGCGTTTGTCGTATTTCGACGAAAAAAAAAAAAGAATTTCAAAAATTTGAGAAACTCAAGTGTGACTTGCGTTTTTTACCAAAAACTCAAGTCGCGAACGAGTTTTCCCTTCTTGTGTCCAAGTCTTAAAAGTTGCAATTTTTTTACCATTTCAGCCAATTTCCCCACAAGGCGGCACACCCTCAGGTAGTGACTGTGTGTTTCCCTCGTCACCCCAAAAATTATGAAAGGATCAAAAGTCAAAACTGCCTATGTTACCTTGAAAACCTTTCAGATAAATGTCCACCTAATATGTTCAAGGCTACCTAGTACCATCCCATTTCCATATCATGTTTCAGACAAGAGATCTGAAGGAGCCCTTTGGAGAAGTAAAAAGTATAGAAGAGTATTTAAGTTCAACATTAATATTAATAAAGAAATAAGACATAGAACCAGAAATCGATATAGTAGTGCCTGGAGTAGGAAGGTGCCAAGGAAATAATAGCAGGAAATAGTGTGAGAAAAGTTCTTTCAAAGTGCATCTTACCGTGCACAATCAGGATTGTCCATCAAGTACAATTTCAGATCCTCAAAGCATCTTATCTCTAAAGGCAGGGTTGTAGAGCAACTAGAATGTCTTGGCATCAACTTTTGAAGAACTTTATAGACTAATAACTGGAAAAGAAAAAGAAAAAAAAAAATTGTTTTCCCAATATTTATGTACTGTTATGCATCACCAGTGCCCTTGATCTTTCAAGAAGACTGACCTGGGTAAAACCACGTAATGTATGATGATGCGAGGTCAACAATGGAACTATAGGAGGAAGTAATTCACTCAGGCGCTCAGGTTGTGCAGCTCCAGTTGAATGCAGGATTATATTAGCAGCTATAAACACATAGGAAGATAAAGCCTGCAGGTTGCAATCCATAATTACTATATATATATATACATACACACACACACATGTATATATATATGATGACATTCAGGGGGAGGGTCAAGAACTCATAGACATTGTCTAGTTGCATGGAGTAGAAAATGGTACATGCCAAAAGATTCAAAGTAATTAGATCTGGAGAACAAACAGAGCCACATCATTTGAGATTAGTAACAATCTGATGTCAATACTTCTCCAAAAATGACACTCAAGAAGTTGAAGATGGAGCAAAGAGAGAATGTTTTGAAGTGTTGCTGTTACTATATCTTAATTCAAGGACATTTTTTTTGCATTATCTTTTCTTTTAAGCATAAAGTTAACATGAAGGAGCACAAATAAGGAGCAATTTAAAGTTTCAAGAAAGCTACCATGACGTCAAGAAAAAGTGGAGTTACATGTAAATTAACATAAAATAAATTGTCAAAATATGCCTCACCTGGGGTCGCATTTCAGAATCTCGGAAGATCGGAACTAATTCTTCCCCTACCTATTACAGTAACACGAGAACTGTCTCAGGAAGTGTACAACAACAATAGTATCAAGTCAATGATAAATTTAGTTATACACCACATAAATGATGATCCGGTCTAAATTAATTCTTTTAGCCAAGAAAAGAAAAAGAAAAAGAAAAAAGAGGAAAAAGAAGCAATTAGATAAATTCATACCAGTGATGGGAAGTTCAAGTATATATGAATTGCAAAAGTTTCCAGATACTGCCGAACTGAAGGCAAATTGTTTTTCTACAAAGAGAAGAAAATATATCCTCATAATCAGCAACTACAGAAATCAACAGGCATGAAAATTGCACTATCTTTAGAAACATCAGATAAATATTCATGGGTGCTCAAAGAGCCAGAGTTTAGTATTTTGGCAATTTGTACGCATCACATTCTATTATACCATATATATGGCTGAAAGCATTGCAAAAAGCGCTTCTTTTATTCTCCATATCTGGCTAAGGTGAGGTGACAAGTAGGGGTGGGCAAGGGCTGGGATCGACCCAACTCACCCGATCATAATTACCCCACCCAAAAAACTTCAGATTTAGATTTTTAGGCCTGAAAACCAAACCAAAATATAGGGAATGTGGGTCGGGTCGGGTCTGTCCTGAACCGGGTTCGCACTACTAATCCCAGAGTTTTGGTATGCCGGAACATTTTAATAGCCACGCATTTGTTATGTCCTTTAATAGACAATTAGTTGTCAATTATTAGAAGTTGACATTGGCAATTTATACTTTGGATATTACGTTCGGGTCTCGGGTCAGATCCAAAATAAAAATCCTTCACCTAAGATCCGAACAGATTTAAGCTATTTTCTCCATGGGTGAATTCAGGTTTAACCCGATTTTATCAAACATAATCTGAACTTTCAAAATTCGGGCCGACCCCAATTAAATTTTGGGTTCAACCCAAAATATGCCCACCCCCCTAGTGACAAGTCAGAAAGAGAACCTTTATAGAGGGATCAAGTTATTCAGATTCAAGAACCAAAAAATTTGAAGAAGACAAATTATTAAAATAACTGTTGAATATTAGGAAAGTTGTCTTAGTTTCCTATTCTTATTAGTAGTTTCCTAAACTAATTTAGTATCTAGTTTAGTATATATAAAGGTCCATTGAAGTATAGAACATATATACAGAGAGACAATCTATTGTAATCTTTCACTATAATATATTCTCTTTATTCTCTTGTTCTTTGGTTCTCACATATTTTGCTTCCGCCTAACTGGCGGGTGGTGGTTATTCTCCACCCGCCAGACCTATCAATCCCTCAATTTCAACATGGTAGGCTATTTTTCTTCCAATATTTCCGGCAGCACTTATTTTCCGGCGAACCAGTGAATGTTTTCTCCTGTTCCGACGTGTCTTGTGGTTGTTCTCCAAATCTTACACCACAGGACCTCTCGGATCATCGTCGCAAGCCTACGCCTCGAATCTCGTCACCATCCGCCGCCGCACGCGCTGTCACGCGCCACCATCACTGACGGACTGCTTTAGTTTTTCAGGTCAGATCTCCTCTTCTCCAGTGATTTTGTGATCTCACCTCCTACACCAATGGATTCCTCTCCCTCTTGCGACCTTATCTGGAAAATTTCATCGCTTTCCTCCACCGCCGTCGTCCTCACGCGCCACCGCCGCCTTCACGCGCCGGCGACCTTCCTCACGCGCCGGCCCGTGAGTTTGCCTCCGGCGAGCTTTTTCAGATTGTTGTTTTGCCCTTCTTTCGACTTGTTGGTGAAATTTGAAGGCTTCTTTGGGTTTGTTGCCGAACTTTCCCATGGTGTTTGTGTTTTGGTATAACCGTGTTTGTTTCTTTATCTCCGGTATGCCTTATCCCATGGATGTTCAGTTTCAGCACTACTATAAAGGCCTTAGATTATTTCCCATGTTTCAAGTAAGGGGGAGTGTGACTATCAACAATCGGTGTGCTATCCTTTACTATCATTTGCTATTTTATCTACTATGGGCTCTACTGCGTCCTTTGCTATTCTTTGCTCCCTTTTTGCTTCTACCGCTCTCTTGTGTTATCGGGAGGTTGTTCATGTTTAACTCTATCCTTGGTGTGTTCATCTTCATTCCCGAGGTTCATGTTCAATTCCGTCCTCGGTGTGTTTATTCCCAAGGGTCCTTGGTGTCTTCGTCTTTATTCCCAAGGATTCTGTTCAGCTCCGTTCTTGGTGCCTTCGTCTTCATTCCCAAGGAAGGGTCAGACATAGCGCAATCTCTTTTGAAGTCATCCATCCTAAAGTGCTTATGTTGCTGTGATGGTGTTCGTGTTTTCCCTTGGTGCCTCCATTCCCAAGGATGTTCGTGACAAGCTTTGCCCCTGGCGTGTTCATTCCCAAGGGTTGCATTGTCCCTCCAAAGCCATCTCGCATTGTTATCCTCTAGTTGCATTTAGTTTTCATTTGTAATTTTGAGTGAGGTAGAGTGCTTATTTTAATCCAAGCTTGGAACTTCAAGATGTTCCAGCTTGAGGGGGAGTGTTGAATATTAGGAAAGTTGTCTTAGTTTCCTAGACTAATTTAGTATCTAGTTTAGTATATATAGAGGTCCATTGAAGTATAGAACATATATACCGAGAGACAATCTATTGTAATCTTTCACTATAATATATTCTCTTTATTCTCTTGTTCTTTGGTTCTCACATATTTTGCTTCCGCCTAACTAGCGGGTGATGGTTATTCTTCACCCGCCAGACCTATCAATCCCTCAATTTCAACAATAACAAATCTTTTTCTCTTTCTTCCTCTCAGTTTCTCATGTAACAAGAGTCAAGTCACTCACTCACATACAAATTGGGAAGTTAAATTAACAATAGAAAGCAAAGAAAATTATCTTACACAGAGACATGTATGAAGGCTATGGGTAACTCTCTGGACAATATCCTGATCAACAAATCGTGACAAAATGCATATCATCTGCCATGCACGGACTTTGCGCCTATGGATCTGACAAGACAAACAAGTGGTAGAGCAGGTCATATTTTTTTTCAAAGATATAGCCAAATAGAAAAGTGGCACTTCGTAAATAACAAAACAATTTACTAGTTAAATCATCTGCACAATCATTTAAACATAATGAAAGTTAAATCTATATACTCCATTATTAAAGAATTTATTTTAAGGATCTGAGGGTAATACTAATTGATTCATTCTTTTGGCAAAAGGTTTTCCTTCATGGGAATTCCATGGCTGCAAATAAACAACACTATTTAAGAGAAAGACATGTTTCTGAAGAAATGTACAAAACCCAGAACAAGTAGCAAAATTGTGGAAATATTCCCTAGACCATTTGTAATTATTTGGTTGAGTGCTATATTTAGGTAATTGAGAAATTTATGGCTAAAATGATTTTAGGACTCTGCACTTTATATTCCCTTTATTTTTGAAGATTAGTTTCCTTTTTTATTTCCTGGAAGATAAATACATGTAGAGCAGAATGAAAAAGAACCAAGCCAGTATTCCAAATTCTCTGTTTTCAAAAATCACAAGTAATCTATATCTAAGATGCAGAGAGAATGAACAATGAAATAATAAATAATTTTCCTCTCTAACCATTTAAGTTTAGTTTATCTGAAGCACATAATACAAAATAGCATTTAGTTCAGATTGATCTCATAACTCAATATGGTATCAGAGCAAAATGAGGTCCTTGCTATGAATCTTACTTACTCCCTATCATCATAATATTTCCATTAATTTGGAGCACATAAAAAACAATCTATTTCGAAGGTTGCTTAGGGTGATAAATAAAAATAATAGATGTCTTCCCTCTTTAACATCTTAAGATTTTAGCTCAGGACTTCAGGTGGAGTAACAATTCAAGAAAAGTATCATTCTTCATCAGTTTCATTTCATCATAGCATGAAGGGTGATAAAATAGTGTAACTTACAGCACTGTACTTCTTATACAACTCCTTAGATAGATCCTTGTCAGTAAGCTGCATTAACATGTAATCATTAGTCCACCATGGTGTGCAGAACTAAAAACTCAATAATCAAAATATAATATTTAATAGAAAAGTTATAAGTTAACAAACCCTACTCCTGGACAAAAATAAAATATATTAAAATTAAACAAATGCACCAAACCAAGAAAAACAAAATTGGATGTGAATGTCTGAGTGTGTGTGCATGTCCATGCGTGTATTAATAACAAAACAATGATTTACTTAGTTGAGTATTCAGAGGCCAATTATGAACAAAGAAGCCGTGATAGACCAATAGGAAAATGAATCTAGTATAAAAGACTAAGGAAATCAAATATAGATTGATTTTGTTGCTAAGATTGTTGTCTGGGGACTAGGCAAGAATTTAAGAGCAGATTCAGAAGAATCCAATACCACAGAATTAATAAGTTCCAGCAAGAACATTTTGCCAGATGCAAGGGCAGCAATTCCATCATTGCTTTCTCTGGTCAATCCTGCCATACAGGCAATATCTGCAAGTCTATGGAACAAAACAGCAACGGATACACGTGCATACAACTCTGTGTTGATAAATTCCTGGTATAAAGCCAAGATAAGAAATGTTCGATTAGAGACATTTACAAAGGAAGTGCATACACTAATAGTAACAGTATCTCTATAGATTAAAAAATAAAATACTCTATCCAAATATGTCAATGTATAGATGAACTTCAAAGCGCTTAGAAACCATATGAAGAAAAGAAATGCATAAAGGCATGTGAGAAGCCTATGAAAGTTCTGGTGCCCTTTATGTACTAGAAATGCTAAAGATAGAAGTATTAATATTCACTGCAAATGAAGCAATACCAATGTATATACATCTCATAAGAATAGCGGCAAAGTACCTTTCTGGGATGGTTATCAATCAGGTCAGGTGCCAAGAAATACAATCACTCTAATGTAGAGGCCAAGAAACTAAATGCTACTTGTTTTCATTTATTCATGAAAATAATATGATTATTTTTTGTAGACTTCAGTTCATTGTACTACTATTTCCAATTGGAAATTTTTACTATAATATCAGACTTTTATTTCCAAAGACTAGCTAATAGTTTTCATATTTTTATGCAAACTCTTTCTAGTCAATTACTTTCACACTTATATACACTTATGCTTAGACTTTTCTGTAATTAGCCTTTAGTTATATTGGTTGGTTCTCTGAAATGCCTATGTTTCATGTGTATAGCAAACAATGGTCATTAATTAAATGGACAGTTGAACTAACGAAGCAAGGAAACATGTTTTCTGTTCCTCTGTGAAAAGCTCTGCAGGGATGGAACAGAAGTATCTAGAACAATTAAAGAAAGTAGGATAACTTACTTCAGTCAGTTCAGGGTCAGGGCTTTTAGCCAGCACAGCTACTTCACATTTTGCCTCTTGATTTTCAGACAATTCAGCTTCAAAATCCTCATCGAATGCAACTAAAGCAGGATGAATTCAAACATAGCACAACAAAGAAGTATTTAACACAAGTGGTTGGCTGTTTATGTAATGAAGCTGTAAAATAATAAAGCTATGACAAAAAAAATATTTTTTTTTAAGTAAACAATGAAACCTTGTAATAACTGCCATTTAAGTTAATAATGCTATCATAAGCCATACCAGAACCATAAAGCGTTAACAACTGTAACTCTTTTATGTAGTACTTTATAATACTGGGATTTGCAAGCCAAAGCCCAGTTAAATGTAATGCAGCTAAGCGAATAGTGCGTGGACTTTTAGTGCCTTCTTCAAGAATTTTCTCCACAAACTGCATAAAGATAACGAATAAGGATTCTTTTCCAATACTGTAGCTCCTAGAATGAGTAATTTATCAAGAAGGAATCACTAAGAGCACTCCCTATGAAGGGCAAATTTAGACAGGGACAGCAACCTACCCATTTCAAAGGCCCAGGTGCACCATCCAACTCATGCATGCTCTCATCACTAAACATAGAATACTGCAATACAGAAGACAAAAGTGCAGCAATCGGAGCAACTCTCCTTTTGTTGCAGCTCACATGTAAGATCCAAGAAGAGTGCACCAACCTCCACATCATCTGCATACAGCCATAGACATTAGAATTAATTGACAAATCCAATGTAATGCTGCCCTCTCGTAGAGAATCTAAGTCATAGAGATTGAGATTATGTGTTTATGATGTTTATGTTCCTCTGACTTTTTTGTATTATATTAAAGAAGATTTTCTTCGTAACCCTCAAAAACATGAAGGGAAAAGTGCAGTTTGTCACTAAATTATGACTGAATAGAGATTTTAGTCCCTAGTTATACTTATAATCTTATATATCATGAGCAGGTATAGCCCCTTGATTTTTAACCATGTTCCAGTTTGGTCCTCCAACATTATAGTTTTAGCCCTAAGTTATGGCTTAATAGCAATCTGCCAATCTTAGTCCCAAATTGTCCAGCATGGGAAGACCATTACCACAATGTGGATTTAAACGTAGGGGGCTAGGGGCTGTTTATGCTCGCAAGAATGCAAGATGAACTATGGCTAAAATTTCTATACAACAACTTAGGGACTAAGATTGCACTTTCCAAAAAAAAAAAGGGTGGAAGGATATCATAATAAAGACACAAGGAAACTGAACAGTTGTCTAATCTTTTTAAAAAGGGAAAAAAATTGACTACTTGCCTTCTAACAATAGTAAAATCATAATGAATGTGGAATCTAAATTGTATATAAAACAATCCTCCGTACAACACTAATTTTTAGACTCATTAAAATGACAACACTGCTACCTTGACAATGACTTCCAGAACACAAATTACATAGCATGAAATGCATGGCTTTGAAAACCCCATGGAAATTTTAAATATTGAGCATACCTTAGTACTTATGCCAGCACAAGAAGAAACCATTAATCCCCTCTGTCCTGAGACAAAAAGCTCCAATAGCAATCTGACTGATCTTAGCATGGGCAAAACAGAGGCCTCACTACCATTCTCAAGGCTGCAAATTCATTTAGAATGGTAAGTAGAACTTATCTCTGCTCTTCAGTAGCAGTAGCTACAACTCAAAATACAACTAGGATGATCAGATAAAAATATAGATGGACAAAAAGATGGTGGACTGCAGTTACTCTTCTCCAAATTTTGTGTGTTGTTGTGGGTGGGGGGTGGGGGGGGGGGGGGTGTTTTAACACTGCAATTGCTGATGGTGTGGGGTTTGGCAGGACTTGGATGCGTGCTTATCGATCTACTCTAATAAAAATAAATTGATATATATATATATATATAGAATTAGGTTCTGGTGTGGTTGTGCGGTTAAATATGAGCCATTGATCTTGCTTAAATCAACATCCAAGATTACCAAAATTTTAAAAAAAAAAAAAAAAAACGCGGTGGTAATTTGGTAATTTTTGAATCTATGTCAAATTTAAGATGCGTGGGTTTTGTGCTTAAGGTGCGTGGAATTTGTGCTTAAGGTGCGTGGGTTGTGTGCTTAATGTGAGTAGTTGTTGAAACTTAAGGTGCGTGGGTTTTGTGCTTAAGGTCCATGGATTCTGTGCTTAAGGTGCGTAAGTTTTGTGCTTAATGTGAGCAGTTGAAACTTAAAGTGCGTGGTTTTTCTTCTTAAGGTGCATTGTTTTCCTTCTTAAGGTGCGTGATTTGTATGCTTAAGGTGCGTCAGTTGTGTGAAACTTAAGGTGAACCATTTTAAAACCTTAGGTGCGTGCCTGCGTGGTTTGTGTTCTTAAGGTGCTTTGTTGTGTGCTTAAGGTGCGCGGTTTGTGTATTTAAGGTGAGTGGTTTGTGTTCTTAAGATGCTTTGTTTCTGTGCTTAAGGTGTGTGGGTTGCATGTGTACTTAAGGTGCGCCATGTTAATGCTTAAGGTACGTCAACCGCACAACCGCACAGGAAGCATCACCCGCACGTGAACCCTTATATATATATATATATATATATATATATATATATATATATATATATATAGGAGATCAAGTGTGGATTGCTCTTCCCGTGCAAACGTGTGGACTTGCACTTGTAGAGTTCCTGATGTGCACTTTTAGGGCTTTAAGTTTCAAAAAAACAACCAAGCATTCAAATTATGCACAAATAGAGTTTCTCACTAATCATGCACAACAGACATTCTAAAATGCACAACAAAACCCGAAATAAATAAAATATAAAAAATGTGGAAAACAGTCTAAAAGTGCACACAAGAACTCTAAAAGTGCAAGTCCGCACAAAAAGAGGAGTCCACACCAAATCCAAATTCTATATATATATATATATATATAGTTGCACTCGGGTGCGAACGGCTCGCCCAGGCGCGAAATAGGAATGGATTTTGTTCGTCCACGTGTCCAGATCTAATGGATGAGAAACACTGATTTTTTTAAAAAACGCGGTGGCATTTTCGTAAATAATTGAACATCAAAGTGCAAGTAAAATGTATTACAAGTGCATGTAAAATGTATTATAGGTGCAAGTAAAAATTTACACTGAGCATCAATACTTAGTTGCACTTATAGTTCTAAGTAGTTGCACCTATAGTTCTAAGTAGTTGCACACATAGGTATAAGTAGTTGCATCTAGGTGTATGAATGTTTGCGAGTGGTTTTCAGGAGTATTACTACCCGCTGAACTCAGATCAATGAATATTAACAAGACAAAATTACATGCACTTATAGGTGAAAGTAGGTGCACACATAGTTATAAGTAGTTGCACCAATAGTTATAAATAGTTGCACATATAGTTATAAGCACACCCAGGTGCATGAATGGTTGCGGAAAGTGAATGCTAACAAGGCAAAATTACATGCACTTATAGGTGAAAATAGGTGCACTTATAAGAGATTTTACTTGCACTTCGATGTTCAATTATTTACGAAAATGCCACCGCGTTTTTTTTTAAGTTATTATATCTGGACACGTGTCACGCGCTGATTCGTTCGCATTTCCTTCCTGGACACTTATTCGCACCTGAGTGCGTCCTTATATATATATATATATATATATATATATAGACACATTCATAGCACATTTATTTCAAGAGAGGATCTTCATAATCATTTGTTGTGGAACTAATCTAGAAATAGCAAAATCATAAATCCCTTACTTGTCAACAAGATCATTGAAAGCCTGTCTCAATATGTCATTGGAGAAGTAAAAGTTATCATTTCCCAGTCGAACTCCATTCTGGAAAGCAAATTTAGGAATTGACAGCAAAGCTTCAAGGCATATCCACTGAAATGATGAGAAGAAACCACTCAGTTACTTATTGGAAACAACTGTAAGTCAATTGGTGCAAGAGATGATCAAATTAACTACAAAGAATGAGCATTAAGAACGTCTATCCCTTTTTACTTCACAACAGTCAAACAAGGCAGATGCCTCAGGCCTTTTCTCATCACAAGATTCACATTACCTAGATCACCAAACAGTCTAATCAAATGCCTAAAGATAACTTTCCTTCCCAAACCACAAAAAGAGGTGATTTAGATCTCCCTATAATTATTTCCAAGCATTCGTGTTTATGTTCATGTCCATTTCAAACTATGTAATCAGCAGGTGCATGTCAAACAAGTACATGATCACTTGGCAAAAATGTTCCATTGCTTTATGTTTTTTTTTTTTTTAAAGTCTGTTCCATTGCTTATGTAGTATGTACCAAGTACAGACAAAAAGCACCAATAAAAACCAAGTACAGACAAAATCATTCACCTTACAATGCAACAAAACTGCTCGCCGTGATCGGACTAACGTTCCAGCACCAATTAAACTATTGATGTTCTGAAGGAAAGTACTAAAAAAGGAATCCAATATCAGCCTATCATCCGCTTCTGATGGAGATAAACCATCATTTTGTTTGACAAGATCCAGAGATACAAGAGAGAACATAGGTGCCATTTCTTTCAAAGCATTGCCCACTGCTTCATATGCTGCTAGAGAGATTTCTGCTTCAATCTATTAAAGAAAATCCAGTCAATCAACAGAGATAAATTAGTTATATCAAAGAAAGAAAAGTCCAAGATGAAAGGTAATTTAAAATTTAAAAAAAAATTAAAAAGAAGAAGAAGAAGATCATCTGGCACAACCACAAAAGTCAAAACCTGTTTTAACTTAGGAACAAGATGATATGCATTGCATATGTTAAAACAGAGAAAAATTGAGCAACTACTATATCTAATGTCAGAAATACCTCTGAATTAGAGGACGAGGATGTAATAACCTTCCAGCAGGCATTCCAGAGGTAGGTTATGGCAAAGTCAATTGAAGCATCCTTTCTGAATTGAATACACCACTTTGAGATGGATGCTACAGATTTTATGGCTGTTATCTGTGTATCAAAGTTCGTAAATGACTTTAATAACTTGTAATTCAATAAATGATCAAATTCTAGCCTTGAAGAGAATGAAACTTTATATGAAGTATTTAATGAGAATAACATATTCAATCAAAATATTGTAGCAAAAGTGCCATGTGTGGCATTCTTCTGATAGAAACATAGCAGGTTATCACTTCTGTTCCAAGGCAGGGAATTGAAAAGATCAAAGTTTTGGAGTACATAAAAGGATCATACAGCTTGCAATACAGAACTGGCAGTAGAAGATGGCAACCGACGCTGACTTGGACCTCCCAGCCTTCCTTTGATGGAACCAGGAAGAACACTGTCGTCTATTATGCTTCTGGAGTCAAAGATGTAACATGACAATCTGGCAAATGAGACCAGTGAATCCTGCTTGAAGACAACCTTTTACTTTAGAGAGCTATATTCTCCATTCTAATAAGCTTCATTTTAGAGAACTTTTAAAATATGGTTGACAGAATAGCACATAAGAGTTTGGAAAAGAATCATCTTCATACCAGTAATGAACAAAATGAATTGGTAAACTTCTCAAAAATACGAGAATCCTTTGCCGGAGGAATGTCAACTGCTTTACCCGGAGAGTCGAGGCCCATTTTCAATCTTCCACTTGTAAAACACTCAACTACTCTATCTTCAATTAGTTGTAGTTCATATACCAAGCTCAAAATAAGGATGAGATATTTCACAGGAATCCACTCCAAAAGGGTTTTCTCTTTGCAGATATCAGCACCATGCTCTTGAATAAACTGAACAAAATGGTTTCCCTGGTATTAGGAACCCATAGAACAGATGAAAGGCAAAAACAATGACAAGAAAGTAAGCTGGAAGTATATACATCAAAGCTGTACCTAATAAAACATAAATAAAGTAGTACCTATTCATCAATCAAGATTAGTGGGTTATGCTAGAGAGAGATAGAGACAACATCTCAGCTTAAACCGTTCTTCCTAAAACCCCTTTAATAATAGTCTGAAATATTCACAGTGAATTGTTGGATGATATAAGTTTTTATTTTCCGATTGAGAAAACAGTGTAGATATCTTGATTGCTTTTAGGAATTATGGTGAACCGGCAGGCAGCAGGTGCCATGAGCCAACCCACCAATGAGGCAAAAGCAACAAGAGAATAAGCCAAGGATAAGAGAATAATATGATATGTATTCCAATAGAATTGAATGTAGTGAGATGACACAGAAACTAGAAACCCTTCCATCTCTAGGATTACTGAACTAATAGGAAAGTAATGTAATCAAGTAAATTCTGAATACTTCTAAGATCACTAACTTGAGTGTTCACAACCATCCTAATCTCAATTTAAGAACACTCTTAACTATTCTAACACTCCCTCTCAAGTTGAAGCATGTGAAATATGCCAAAATTTTCCTTGAAAAAAGACAATCTTGCACCCAACTTTCAAACAATCATCAACAAGATCTCCAATAAACTTGTGCCAAATTATAATCTCGAAGCCTCAGAATTTAATTGTTCTTGCTGGAAAAAGATATTGCATTTGGAACTTGAGCAAATAAGGCTACTTGCCCATCTGCAAAAGGTGAATTTATTTTTTTCAACAGGAAAAAGAGAGAACCAAACAAGACTTGTTTTAGAATGCAGTTATTTTATGAGAAGAAGCATCTTGAAGAAGAAATAACCAGATAAGACTTCTTTAGAATTATGGTAGCTTTGTAAAATGATATGAAGGGAAAAAAAAATAAAAAAAACAGACAGACAAATAAACAAACAAACAAACAAGACTCTTTTGCCAAAATATTGATGGTAAACTAACAAGAATCAAATGCACGAACTCTCTTAAGAGCTCATACAAATCTGATTAGGATTTTGGAACATGGGTACCAAAAATTATCTTGAACGTTGGAAATAACACAAAAATTTCAGGAAAACACTCTGGGTACTGTTCATGAGTACAAAACCTCCCTGAAAATCAGTCAAAAATAAGATGTGGAAAAGTGGTTCTGATACCATGTTAGAAATTGTGAAATGGCAGTCCAACAGGTAACAAGAACCAGCATTCACTGGCAAGGCCAAAGCAAGAAGAAAATAAACCAATCAGAAAAATGGTATATGTACTCCAATAGAATTGAGTATATTGACTCATTGAGCTGTATGAAGAACTATACAATATTGAGGGATGTTTATACTAAATTAGAGGGCACATGATAGGTGTTGAAATTGAGGATTTGAAAGGTCCGGTGGGTGGCAAATAGCCACCATCCGCCAGTTAGGCAGAAGCAAAGTATGCAATAAAGTGAGAAACCAAGAATCCTTCCATCTAAAAGGATTCCTAAACCACTAGGAAATTAAAGAAATCAAATAAATTCATTTCACTTCTAAGATTCATATTCCTAACCTAAGATTTGGTAACCATCTTAATCTCAATTTAGGAACACTGTTAACTATTCTAACAGAACAATTATAGCAGTCTAAACATAAGGTTAATACAAGACAAGCAAATCAATAACCTCTCTTTTCTTAAAACACTGCCCCATCTTATTAGTGTGCAAATACAAAGAGAAATAAGCCACGTTGCAAAAAGAAAAATGATAAAAAGGAAATATATAGTTAAATACTTCACACATATAGGAAGTTAATATAAAATGAAGAAACTAATGAGGGGTAAGTCCTACGTACCACAAAAAGAATTATCTAAAAAACAATAAATTGATTACAGAAACAGTTTTCTAATCCGTTTATAATTAGTGGGAATATCATTAATATTTCCATTACCTGATACTACTCCCTCTACTCCAGGAAAAAAAAAATGGATAATTTAGTAAACAAGTAGGTTTATTGGCAGCACAAGACAACGTAGTTTGAAACATGTCCTTCAACACTATATGACTATATATAGAAAAAATAAAAAATTAAAAATTAAAAGAAGCATCATAGAGAAATACATATTATCAAGTAGGCAAAGAGGCAATTCTAATGAAGCCAAAAGATGCAAACCATGAATATGGGATCCAAGTCTTGTTCCCCCTTAATTACAAGAAAAAGCACCCTCGCCCATCTTTTTGCTTCAGATTCCCAAGCATCCAAGTCTTCATCATCATATGTAATGAAGCTATGCAGCATACTATGGCAGCTTATGAACTTTGGTGGGAAACAAATTAGAGTCCGCAAAAGTTGAAGATTTGTATCGCTGGAGTTAGAAGAAAAATGCATTTGGAAACTCTGTAGCCACTTCTGCACTTTTAATCTCAATGAACCTAGAAAGTGGATAAGCAAAAGAGAGCCTTAGTGTTCCATTTTGATTTCTCTTTTTTCTTTTCAAGGTGGGAGGGAGGTTGGTTGAAGGTTACTGTATACAATATAGTAGATGGGTATCATCACTAATAGATTAAGCTTTTAGTTAAGGTGGAACACATAATTCAACATGGTAGCAAGTGTAGGCAAAGGTCCAAGGTTTAAATCCCACATGCCACCTATCATCAAAATATTGTCATGTGGTTAGCCCATCAAAAGAAAATCTGACATACACATGAGGCGATTTGTTGAGGATATCAAAATTAGTAAAAGGGTAACCATTATCCTCGCTGATAGCCTGATAGCCTAAACTTTTAATCAAGGTGAAACATATCAGTCAATAGAAAGGAAGACTATTACCAATAGAACTACAGGTAGAAATTGTGACACAGATATCTGAAGTATGGAAGAAGTGACAAAAAAAATTTCCTTATACCTCCACTATCAGTAAGTTCTCGTGGCAAGCTTGCAACAAAAAGCAGTAGGGTTTCAAGAGGCACATCATGTGGAGCCATCACAGACACAGCAGCATCAAGAATTTCCTCACAAACTGCAAGGAATGGAAGGATGACCACAACCAATATTGCATAACATAAACACAGTGAAAAAAACTAATGTGAAACCTTGATGCCGGTAAGTGGGATTGAAATGTTGTCTACTGCTTTCAATGACAAATCTGAAAACATCCAGTAAGTCTGCTTTGTCTATAGAGCTTTCTTGGGCAAATCTGGCTTCTGTAACACCTGCTGATACACCATTCTCTTGATCATTATCAGAAATGCTATGTTTCTGATCTCCAGAAGCAGCAGAAGAAATACACTTCACAAAGCACATTAGTCCAGCTCGTCCAAAAGATTGAGTTTTAGCAACAGATGCCAAACTTATAAGGAAAGCAACCCTGTATGAAACAAAAACCTTTTGATTATTAGAGGGGAGGAAAAAGGCTCTCCGTTCCATTCTTAGCCTATGAAAGACTATGGACATGTGTGCTTTCATAAATTAAGGGAGTGTGATTTTAATTAGGGGAAATGCATGTTTGGTCCTTTGATTATTCGCATCTGGTTGTTTTTGGTCCCCCATTGCAAATGTCATTGAAAAAAAAAATTTCTTGAGAAGCAACAAACAACTAAGTGAACATCAAGCAAACTCCAAAATCCAAATGCCCAGTTACGGAAGTTGCATCAATAACTAAAGTACTTAAACCAAATTTTAACAGATTTGTGAGTTTCTTCCACAGATATGTACTTGGGGTCATGTTACGGTAAAAAAGCTTTATGAGGTAAGCAACTCCGGTCCGTGTGGTGGGCCCATGATATACTCCTAGTCTCAAAAGGTGGACACTCATTCAGGGCATTCTTAATAAAGAAAATGGAGCATCAGTTATCACAGTATGATTGTGCACCTTTGATCCAAATAGCTAGTATATACACAAAGAAACTTGGCAGCAGCTTCAATTGTCCATGTAGAATAGACTCCTTTTACACCTAAAAGTACACATGCATTAAGTCAAGAAAGGTGACTATAGCAAAGGGAATAAAAGGAACTTTCTTCTGGCACCTTTCCAACAAGAACTAACAAATAAACACAGCTAAAAAGAACGCAATTAACCCCTAATCCAGAACAAGTGAGTAAGAGAGAGAGAAACAAAAAATGCAATATAATAAAATAATTAGTCTTGACAGCATTCCACATAGTATAGACTGCATTCTTAATTACTACCAACATCAAAAAAAAATATTTCTTTCAAGAAAGTCACCAGCTCAAGATAATACTCTACTTTTAGACTTTTTCCAGTTGCTTCAACAAAAGGTTAATATCAAATTTCTTAAAACCAACAAAGGCAATAGCATGATCCATCACAGGCTTTCGTTTTTACCAATATACCCACTTTTATTAAAGGGAGCATGTGGCTGTTTAGGGATAAAGAAAACAAACCAAAATCTTTGTGGTGCACAGGGTCGTTCAATCCTTCCATAAGGGGCCCAAAAATGAAATTCTGGGAGATCAATTCTGCACAACATTTATATTTTCTCCACTCAATACCCAGAAATGACTGCATAATCAGGCACCTTACTGCAACATAAAAAGATCACTTTAATATAAAAATTATAAGTCCACATGTAACGTGTCAAATATGTTAAAGTTAAAGGTTCACAAGTAACACCAAGTAATATAAAGCAAAGCCAAAAATGTTAAATTTAAAGGTTCCTGCACCTTGAGGGTTATCATGGCAAAAGCCACGCTCCCACAGTACAACCAACCAGTCAAAGGTTTCCTCTAAAGTGTCCATACACATATGATGGGGTTCACCATTCAATACACTTTCTGGAGATGGAGAATAATGGAGCAGCAAGGTCATCTGTAGAAGCAACCAAACAGTAAATATACAAGTGTTAATTGGTACATGATGAATTTATAAACAAACTCAACATCCAAGGAAGCAGAAACTAGAAACTGCAAGAATCAAAAGCACAAAGTGTAGGGATATGATCATTAAATTCCTATATTTCTTAAAATTAGTGGAACGAGTGTTTCAAATATCAACACACAAGGCAAAGTACTAGAAATTGCCTAACATTACTAGAGTATACTCTGTAGTGGATTGCAATAAATCCCATGAAATGCCCATTTAAGCACATTTGATTTTTTTTTCTTTTTTCTTAAAACTACAGCATATTATTCACAAGCTCGTGAAGGTACCAACACATGCAATAATGTTAATTATGTCAAACCTGGTGATTCCATGCTGCTTCAACCAAGTGAGTACCATACTCTTCAAGCATTTCATACAAAAGAAAGAATGCCTCCCATTTCTGTGTACTGCTAGAAGAATCAACAATAGAATTGCAGATTCTACCAACCCCCAGGGACTTGGCTTCATTCTCCGCCCACCGCTCTCTCTTTGTCAATCCATGAGGGACTGAATTTCTTTCATCCAGAACATCAACACTAGAGTGAAATTGGTTTTCCACACTTAAACTTATTGTTCGTTTCAGTGTATGTAGTGATTGCTTCCTCACAAAGCTCTCCTTATTGACCTAAGAAGTTCAAGACAAGTGAGATAGCATACAGAAGCATTATTGCCTATGGTATATCACCAATTAATAGACTGTAATTTATACCAAGCCCTTTTTAATTTCATCCCAGAATTCCTTCTGAGCTCTCAAATCAAACATTGTTTCCTTGCCATTGAGAGATGCATCTTCTGGCCCATGACTCCCACGAGCAATAGAGAAGAAAGACAAATACAAAGAAAGTGTTGAATATGCATCCCTTCTCTCCAGAGGCCCCAAAGAGAACAGAGCCTTGCAACTCTTCCATAGGTCCGCAAGAATATGGTTCCTGGGAAACCACCAATAAGTCATTTATTGAATAAATGAACAGTTTATAACATGAAAATACATCATATTAGGGTCAATACTTCACACAACAAATATAGGCAACAGAATTCTACCGAGAAAGCACATATTTTTGCCCATTAATTGAGACTTCAAAAGCAGAATGACAATCAAATGCTTGGAATATGGAAGGGAGAAGAAAGCTAATTGCAGAAGACCGATGTTCCAAACTTTGCAAAAGCATTTCAATTGTCAGATTGAAAAGATCCCAAACCAAATTTGCAGCAAACATTTTCGCACAGTCCCTGTCTGCCACATTCAATTTAGAAGTTGGTCCTACTGATTGTAAGGTTCCAAGTACCAGTTCCAACATCAGGGTCAACATGTAACAGGATGTAGGCAATTGAAAATAGTTGGATTCAGATAGGAAGGTGTTGTTATTCATCTCAGCATTTCTTAGCTTGAAGGAAGCATCTTGTGTAGATTGCAGACCAGGGTCCTGGCCACCTAAATTGTCAATATGAACATTCCATTTATAAACCGACAACTCTTTACTTTGAAGCATACCCATTGATAGTCCAATTGATCTTAACAAAAAGGGCACAATGGTCGATCCAACAATTTCCCAGCTGTTTGTTTCAATAACAACACCAAAAAACAAACCTGCAACCTATACATCATATGCAGGAGAACACAACATTAGTAAAAACTAAAAAGTGATGAATAACGTGAGTAAACACTAAACAGAGTTCATACATTTTATATCTATAGCTGTTTACCTGGTATAATAAGCATGTGAAACTACCCGATACACATACCTTATTTAATAGCACACGGTCATATGACTGTACCAACTTCATCAATGGGATAAAAATTTCCCAAATAAACAACTGCATGGAATTAACATCAGACCCTGCATCAAAACACCTTTAAACTATCAGATCAATATCATCATACTAGGTCAGAATGAAACAAAAATCAGACATCGGTATTTAATGAATTGCAAGAGATATGATCATCAGTTAATGTTATTATGTATTTCAGACCAGTTCAAAATAATTTTGAAATATTAAATGTAACAAAAGGACAGCATCATCAAATATTAAGAAGCCATTAAGGGCACAGCATCATCTGTAGGTTTGTGTAATTTTTGAACATTAAAGGTGGTTCCAATAATCATCAACAAACTGAAAAGAAACAAGATAGTCAGCCCTCAATAGATATCATAAATAGCATGCATTCACCCATGATTCCATGGGCACAAATTATGAACATTTGATAAATGACCAACAGCGCATGGTGAGTGGCAGATAGATACAGAGCCAAAAGTTCAAAAACATGAAAATTAATATGAAATACTGTAACATAGTTCAACTTGTATGCAAACCAAAATGAAGCTTTTGCTATTAAGAATAGATATGCAACAAAAAGTCTAGAATAAATCAAAACAGAAAGAAGATAGAAATGTTAGTCTAGTCCAAAAGAGAAGTCAAAAACAAAACTCAAAGTTTGCACAACCAAAACAGGATTCAGAAACAAAACTCACCAGGTTTCTTCAAAATATGACATAATGCACCAACATATGATTCAATAAAATTACGCTGTTCAAGTTCCAAGTTCTGCCCTGCCTGTAATTTTTCCTACAAAAACAAGATCCATATTGGACTCCACTTAATCATTAAAATCAAAAGTATATCAGTGCCCAACTGTTCAAAATATCAGCTTCCAATTGATCAAACAAAATAACTAGAGCTGCACATGACTTAATTCGTTATCATACTGGGCAATACCCATTTTTAAGGACTAGTCTAGCCAAACTAATGCCAATTTTCAAATGAGGCTTAGCTAAATGCAAAGCTAAGAAAACAAGACTTCTTGGTTTCTCATAAAAGCAGTGTAATTGTCGATTGATTACTATTTGCAACCTGTTTAACGATACTCGTGTGCTCTTCTCTAGCTAAAACGAAAAAAACCAATGCAGATTTTTATTTATTTTTAATTACCAGAGGTAAAAATTCCTTAATCATCTCTTTTTTTCCAAGCAGAGCAAAGCGGGATATATAAAGGTGGTACCTTGGCAATGCTGGGAAACTCTTCAAGAAGAGTAGAAAAAATTGAGAATGGAGATGAAGCTGTGGAAGCCAATATACAATCCAGCATCGCCGGAATAGCTTCCGGAGGGACCAGCCGGAAACTGGTCAATAATGAAGCAATCATTGGGTCCATCAATAGATTGGCCTTGTAGAGGGAAGAGGGAAGAAGGAAGATGACCTCTTACGTTCGTGAAAATTTCAAATAGAAGCGCATAGTACGAGTGATAAACCCTACCCGGGGTTTTTCGTGGGGCGCTGACTGGACGGGGTTTTGTAATGACTTACTTACGTTGCCATAATTACATGTTGTGTTTTTGTTTTTTTTTTTTTTTTTTTTGATAAAAAAGGGTATTTCATTCATTAATTCAAATCAACCAGAGGTACATTAGAAAGGAAAAGAGGAGGGATGGAAGTACATTCCAAACTATTGTAATGTTGTTGTTTGTGCCCATTGGCCTATAGCTCCTAACCGGTGAATTTCAGGATTGAATCAACAATCAACAATAAGGAGTAATAGACAAAGAGAAGGGAGTGATATGATTTCATTTCCATGACTTCCTCTTACAAAAGGATTACACACATATATAATATAGAATAATAATAGCATACATAATGAGACATTAATATGTCTGTTACAAACGTTACAAAATAATGGCCACCATTAATATTTAATTACAACACTCCCTCTTTGACATTATTTGTCTATGATCTTGCCTCGTTAAAAACTTGCTAGGAAAACCCCGTGGGAAAAACCTATACAAGAAAAGAGTACAAGGTATAGTATATTTAAATATATTTATGCCTCGTTAAAAACTTCACTAGGAAAACCACATGGGAAAAACCTAGTTTGAAGAAAAGAGTACATGATATTTGTAAACTCATATATTATACTGATTGCTTCGTTAAAAACCTTAACTTAAGAAAACCTCGTGGGAAAAACTTAGTTAAGGGGAAAAAGAGCACAATTATAAGCCTTCAAAGCATAATCTTCCAGATATTTGGAGTTTGTTTACTTAAGTATTTATATACAACTTCCTCATTAATATATCATACTCATACCTCATTAAAAATCACATGGTATGTATATGCTGCAAAAAAGTATAACTATTAGTCATTTTAAGACCCAATCTACAGGATTGACTCAATTGAATATATACGCTGCAAAAAGTGCAACTATTAGTCTTTTTAAGACCCAATCTACGGGATTGACTCGAGTGAATGTACTTCTTGTATCCCCCCGAAGATAACAATCTTCAAATTCTACATTATTGCCTGTAAAATCATTGTTTCTAAAGGGATTAGAGAAGGGATATGGTACAATTTTCAGGATTGTCATTAGAATTTATCATATTTTCTTATGATTATCTGGACCAATAAAATTATTTATAGTTTATATTTTGTTGCTCCCCCTAAATATAATAATTTTTCTTTATCTACACATATCAATCTTATGGATATTTTGTATGTATATATTTGCTAACTGGTCAATCTTCATGTGGATCAAGGTATTTTATATCATGAAAAACTATATACGTTTTTATCTGTAACAAGTATGATGACTTCATGCCAAAAAGCATCAATACGAGTATTTAATTTGTACCTTGATTTACTATTCGTTATCTTATCTCATAACTTAACATCATCAAGCTCTTTACATATTTCATTGATGTTTACACCATAGATATTGACTGAGATAATAAATAAGTCCATTATCAACTCTTTATTGAGCATATAATGGTACATATTATTCCTTCTATATGAGGATAATAACACCATTCGCAACTCTTTAAAGTGTAAATAATGACACTTAAATAAATCATCATTTCAGGAAGAGAAAATTTCAATTTTGGTCCACTGACTATTAGGGTTGTGTTAATTGCAACACTTGACTTTCAAAAATGTTCATTTAGTACCTTGACTATGCAATTTCTATCAATTTTGGTCACGCCGGCCAAATTACCGGCGAATTATGACCGAAAAATTTAAATAGGTCAAATCATTATGGTATTTTAGTCATTTTACAATCTTTTGTTTCTTCTCCAATCAGCTTCTTCCCATTTCCGACTTCTCCGATCAGAAAACACGACTCCAACTCTGTTTCTCTCCCTCTCTCAGTTGCAGAGCTGGGTCTGATCTGGTTTTATCAGTTTCAGAATATTCGGTGTACAGTTTGCACACAACCCGTACGCTTGAGTTTCTCTGGCTGGATGTGGAGTTCGGGCTTGGGGCGGGCCACGGCTCGCCGGCGGTGAACCTTAGGGCTGCTTCATCGTACGTTAAAGCTGCAGCTTCTGCTGTTTCGAAGGTTCCCAGCCAAACCCTAGCCGCCTTTTTCGGGTCCCGGATTTCCGCCGCTAATTTCACCCACGGCCGCTGCCTAACTCCCCTATAATGTCTTTTCCTTTGGTTCACGCCACCTTATTTAATTGTATACACACATCAAATTGGATTAGATTAGTTCTTAGCTCCATTAATTATAATTAACAACCACACATGGTCACAAAATCGATCAGATGGACCTAGACCTGGCAATTCGTGTATACGGGTCCGTTAACGGGTCGACACGATAACGACACGAACACGATAAGGCTAAACACGGACATGACACGTTATGGTTAACGGGTTTAATTTTTTAACACGAACACGAACACGATTTGTTAACGGGTTAAACGGGTTGACACGATAGACACGTTTTGTTAACAGGTTTCAAGTCGTGTTGACATGATAGGGCACAAAACTCGTTTAAACCCGCTATTTCTATTAATATATTTAAGAAAACTAAAATTTAAAGTTAAGTTCTATAAAAAAGAAATAAAACCTACAGTTCAATTCATCAAACAAACTAAAAAGTATTCAATTCATAATATTCATAATATGATAAAATAACATCCAAAAATCATAATTAAAGGAGTCCATACAAGTTTTTAGAATAAAATTGAACACAATCAAAATCAAAATTCAAATTTCAAATTGTTGAACATCAATAATTGGTGTAAGATCTTAACCTAATGTAAAAAATTCATCCTTAGTCATTTACATAATATCTTTTGTAATCTCAATAATGACAATGGTTCTTACATAAATGACAATGATTCTTAGCGGGTTATAAACAGGTTTGGTAAACGGGTTCGTGTTAACGGGTAACACGATAATATTAACGGGTTAAACGGGTTCTTAATAGGTTAACGAGTTGACCCGCTAAGACACGAAACATAACGGGTCCTTAACGGGTCAACCCGTTAATGACCCGGGACACGTTAAGGCTAAACACTAACCCGTTATTTTCGTGTCCGGTTTCGTGTCGTGTTAACGGGTCGTGTCCATAATTGCCAGGTCTAGATGGACCCATGCGAGGTGGCGCTGCCGGTGCGAATCCGCCGCAGATGTACCAGAGGTTCTCGCCGAGTGATTAGAGAAAGGAGGGGTTTAATTTTGGTCAACAATTGACTTTCCCAAATTAGAAGGAATAAGAAAAGACAATTTTACCCCTTCTAATTAGGTTTAAATTTTGACTTTAGATTTTCCGGTCATAATTCGCCGGTAATTTGGTCGGCGTGACCAAAATTGATAGAAATTGCATAATCAAGGTACTAAATGAACATTTTTGAAAGTCAAGTGTTGCAATTAACACAACCCCAATAGTCAGTGGATCAAAATTGAAATTTTCTCATTTCGGGAATTATAAATCCATTAGGGATTTTTCAAGATAAACTAGAGGATATATTTAGGATATTTTCAAGAGGAAACAATATTTAAGTTTCCTAATCACATATAACATTACTAGGCATGTTTATGATAATATGTTTTCATACTTTTTTATGGGGGAGAAAATACATTTAGTCAATTTATTGACTATAAGAAAGATCATAGTTAGTAATTTACTAATTTTTATACTTCTTATTTTGTGATTTTCATTCATCACATTTTGAGAAAATTCATCAATGATTTTAAATATAAGTAACAAGTTACCCATATAAATATGTGATAACTATAACTATTAACTACATATCTAATTTATTTACTGCTAGTTTTGTTGAATAGTTGAATATAAAGCCATGACTAATATTGGGTCTCTGCGAAAACCATCAACTCGCCTTTTATTAGCGAGTTTTTATTTGTATGCCTTAATTGCTCTTTTCTATCAAAACAGTTAGCACGCTGCAGACGTTATGCTACTGTTTTCATTTCTAGATCCAGATTTAAGTATTTATGAGCAATAGAGGCAAAAAATATTGTCGACAACTATAACAACTTTGTAAATATCTTTTATACACATGACCATTTTGTATCAACCAAAAATATGGCATTTCCCAAGATTATTTGAATTTGGTTGTTCCGCTTCCCCAGTATTTTAGTTGTTTGGTGCACCTACAATTTTACTGGGGGTTTTTGCCTTCTAGACGAATATCTTCAGGGTAAAATTTCTATATTTATGGAGTGACGAAATTTCTATACTAGATCTAGTTTTGTAAATTCTTAAACCAATATATGCTTCCTGCATAATGGTAGAAATATTTAGTCATAGTTGGAGATTTCAACTCTTAATATATATGAAATATTTTTTTATGGACTTAGTCACTCTTTGAGATTTCTAGCAGATAATTTGTTCAATGTCTGAACTTCTGGTTCTATAAGGCTAGTACATGGGTTTGAAGATTTTTATCAATTTCTAGGCATTTAATTAATTAGAAATTTCAAATCTCCCCCTAATGCCGAGAAAAGATCTTATAATACAACCAACATCACTGTTGATTTTTCATGATGGGATATAGCTAGAAGGGTTGCATACTAAAAAAAAAGTTAACGCAGATAGGGAAATGCATCTTGTACTAGCGTATGCGATATGTAGTGGATCAGCATATTGTTTTTTTTTTTTTTTTAATTTTGAAGGTCCCCAACAAAATATTTCCTCCAAAATTGCTTAATTTGCTTTCCAGACAATGTTGTATTAAGATTTTGAACTTTGGTTTAAAAAAATGATATTGTCTATCTTAAATAATTGTTTCATGACAATGAGAGAAACAAGTAGAGTAATATTGCCTTCTCACAAATTTCAAAATTGACATTATAGCCAATATATAAAAAAAAATGTAAATAATATGGGCAATAATATGACCATCATAGTTGACAATGAGATATGCATACACCAAATATCCTTCAGGGATTTACTTAGAGTCTATAGATCCTTTTAGATCAAATATTCATAACTGATGGTT